CGTGGCCACGCTATAGATGAAGTTGCATCTATTTTATTAGTCGATTTGCCAAGACGAGAAAGCAGTTGAACTTGAAGGGTGGCTCAAATCATGCCCTTGTTCAACTTATGATATCGTGAGACAAAGGATCAGAATTCGAGCTGTTAATGCCTTAGTTAGATCACCTCTAACTCAATTCTAAATGGGTGGTCATGGCGTCTTGCTAGAGGCTAACCATGACTTGTGGTTCGGGAAAGGTTCCTAAAGTCACTACCACTTAGAATGGGCCTACAGGGTCACACACCAATAGGGATGGACTTATACGTGAAGAATACGAAGAATGGAAACGAGATTTGACCGAAGCGAGCATGAAAAGGAGTTTTCAGTGCGTTGGTCCGGAGTTGACCAAGTTTGGTCAGCCCCAGACCAAGTTTGGTCAGTCCGGGAGGTCCGGAAGCTCGGTCCGCGGTCATCTGTCCAGGCCTGGTCCGGCTGACCAAGAGTTGGTCAGCCGCTGACCAGATTCTGGGACAGGCGGACCGAGAAATGGCAAGTCGGACCGAGTTGACCAAGAAGGGTCTTGGTCCGGAGCGGACCACGATCGTGTTTTGCGAGTTTGGTTGCGTGTGACGTTTGACTAGGTTTAGATCTTTCTTCCGCTGCATGAAACCTAGTAAACCAAACCCTAGATCGATATGATCGCATGATAGGAACCCGTAGATATCTCAACAGTAACTTCTCTCTCTCCTCACTCACGTCTTCTCTCTCTCTCTCTTCTCACTCAAGTCTCAGCACTCTCTCTCTCTCCTCTAACTCACGATTTTCTCCCTCTCTCTCCGGCAACCCGAATTTCGCTCAAAATTGCCGAACCACTCAACGGTTTGTGCCCTAAATCCCGAGTTCTCTCACAAATTTCATTTAGCAAGTTCAGATTCATCTTCGTCACATTCTTCGAGCGAAAGTGAGAGTCGTATGGAGATTTCAGAGTTAGATGAATACAAGGTAGGTTAAACTTTAATTTCTTTGCAAATTTGTTTGATTTTGAGATGTGTTGTAGTTGGGTTGAAGTGTGGATCGGAGATTTGAAGGATAGAGCATTAAGGTTTTGGGTATTTTTGAAATTTGGGAATTTCGAAAAAGAATGTTGGTTTGAGACTTTACGGTTAAAATCAAGTGAGATGGTTGAGTTTCGGTCACAATGGATGAGTTTCGGTCAAATAAGACAGTGATATAGGTCACAACACAGTATGGGTCGATGGATGTATAGATTGACATGAAGATTCAGATGACATAAGAACTCAAATGTTATGGTCTCACGGTCACAATGTCACATGTTTGTATAGTCACAAGATCACAGTCTCAAAGGTCACAGTGTCACAGGGTCATATAGGTCACATGATTGTATAGTCAAAGGTCACAATTGAGATGGTCATTTTCGTCACATGTTTGTACACAAGGTTTAGTCATCGTGTTTGATGTTTTGCAGGCGCCGTATATCTACAAACTTGATCAAATTCAGTTCTACCCCAAGATAAATATGAGGAATGAATGTACTTTAGCAAAGAGTCACAGTTTCAGCATCTATTTCACAGCAAATTCGAAGAGACGCTGAAGATTACACCGACTGCATTCCTCATCAACCACACAGTGTTGGTGGAGGACGATTGCGAGCTGTGGTTTGTCGTCAATGGAGTGCCCATCAGGTACTCCATCGTGGAGCACACCCTGATATCAGGATTGAAATGCGGTGAATATCCGCCAGGGTGGGAGTACAAAAGGAAACATAAGTTTAGACTCAAGATGTTTGGGAATCGAAAAGTGTCTAAGCAAAACGTTCTTAGACAACTTGAGAAGACACCAATCACTAAGGTCGCTGATCGGAAGGAATTGGTCACAGTGATGATACTCGGAGGGATCCTAGACCATGGCACCACAGAAGAGAGTATCAACAAATCGGAAGAAATTGGTCACAGTGATGATACTCGGAGGGATCCTAGACCATGGCACCACAGAAGAGAGTATCAACAATGATTTGATGGACATGGTGAATGATTTGGAATTCTGCGAAAGGTTTCCGTGGGAACGATATATATTCGAAAAGATCAATGATCAGACACGGAAAAGCTTCGCAAGTGGAACTGCGAAGGAAAAATGGCACTGTCGGGGCTTTATAATACCCTTATAATAAGTAATTTTTGCTTAATGGATTATTTTAGAGTTGTCATTATATATGTTATTATGGTTTGAGGGTTTATTTGGTGTGTGATATAATATTTGAATAATATTTTACAGTTGCTTCCATTCGAATGTATATCCAGCTTGGGTTAGAATGGGTGGTACAAAGATGTTGAAGAAGCAGATCTGGGTAGTCCCGGGATGTGCAAGAAGTCCGTGAAAACAAATGTCCGATGGACCTTTAGTAATGTCATAAAAAAGATTGGCAAGAAATCAGAATTACGTCTAAATCACAATATACAATAGTCACATGGTCACATGATTCAGAATGTGACATAGTCACGTGGTCACATGGTCACATGATTCAGAATGAATACATAGAGTAACAATGAGTCACATTTGTTTTCAGGGTATTACAAGTATACTACAGATAGAAAGCGGCGAAGAAGCATTTCTTTTTTATTTGGAATGGTATAAGGGGAATATAGATGGAAGGGTTCAGTTTTGGATGCGACATCTAAAAAAGAACCCAAAAAACATATGTTAGAAGAAGAGTCGTGATGCGGAACTGCATTGCAGAAAGTTGTTGGAGGCGAAAAGGAAGGGTAAGCACAAAGTATAGATAGACGAAGATTCAGAGGAAGTAGATGAGAAAGAAGATGAAGAAGAAGAAGTATAAGAACGAGAGCAGCAACAACGGTAACAACAGCAGCAACAACAACACACTACAAAAAACAAGGAAATGGTGACGCAAATTTTGCGTCACCAAAGGGCATTGCGTCACCCTTTCTAAAGGGTGACAAAACAGTGACACAAAAAATCGTCACCATTGCACCGTCACCAGTTGCGATTTCGTCACCAAGCGTCACCAATTAGTGACGCCTATATTTCGTCACTAATTGGTGACGAAAAAGTGACGCAATCGCGTGACCAATTGGTGGCGCAATTCCGTAACCAATAGCGTCACTAATATATGACGCCATTGCGTCACCAACAATGCGTCACTAAGTAGTGACACATCGCGTCACCAAAATCGTCACCCATTAGTGACGCAATATCGTCATTAAAGGGTGATGCATTTGCGTGACAAAATGCGTTACTATTTAGTGACGCATTTGGTGACGCAAATCGTCACCAAATGGGTGACGCTTTTACGTGACAAAATGCGTTACTATTTAGTGACGCATTCGGTGATTTCCTCCGTCGTAATTGGCTTTGTCGCCGTCGCCGTCGCCACCGCCACCGCTTTCTTGTCCTCCGCTTCCGAAACTCGGAAATCCTCGTGTTTGGAACTCATTGAAAAATTCTGCTTGCACTCGCAGTTCTTCAATGAGTTTCCGATCTTCTTCTTGTCGGCGCAAGAATTCCGCTTGTTGCCGGAGGAGTTCAGCTTGCTGCTCCTCTAATTGTCGCACTCGTTGTGCGAGTGAAAGCGTTTCCTGAGCAGTTGAAGGAGCATCTTCACCAGGATGATATGTGATATCGGTTTGCATTGAACCGAGACAGTATATCCGTCCAAATTTGTTCGGTGGAACAACCTATGTAATAAAAATATAATTAATTAATAATTTTTTAAAATTAAAATTGAATTGAAATTATTATAAATTTATATATTTAAAAATTACCTGAAGATATATCTCGTCAATTTTTTCTTTCAGCAAGTTAGGTTCCGATGCAGAAGCTTTGCCTTATGTTGGTTGAGACGCAATAATCTAAAATATTAAAGAAACAATTAAAATTAGACATAAAATATTAATTAAAAAAATTTATATTAGAAAATTTACCTCATGTTGAACTTGTTCCGCGTTTTGTTGCGCTTTTCCATCAACCATCACACCATCTTTTCGTGTATGTGTTGCTTTTAACAGATCTAGCAACGTTGGCGCTTGACTATTTTTAGCCATTTCATGCATAACACGACTAAAAGGCTTAGCTCCCGATGTATTGCACTGGACCACCAAGTCTTGCTTCATCTGGTAGGTGTATAGCCAAATGCTCCGTAACATCGAAAAACGAAGGCGGAAACACCTTTTCTAGTGCACACAAGATTAGCGGTATGTTATCCTTCATACGCTGAACATCATCAACATTAAGATTTCTTGAACATATATCTCTGAAAAATGTACTGATACCTGCATACATGTATAAAAACATTATTAATTGATATTATTTTTTGATTTATATCTATATATATTTAAAAATAATTAAAAACCATGATATATATATATGTACCGCATAAAGGTTCGTAGACATTGCGCGGGAGTAGTTCAGCAAGAACAACTAGAAGAAGCCGTTACATGAAGACATGACAATCATGACTCTTCATTCCATTTAACTCCACACCATCAAGATCAGCACATCGCCCGATGTTAGATGCATAACCATCCGAGAATTGAACATCTTCCTTCAACTACTTCAATAGTGTGATATTAGCATTTTTGGACAGTCTAAATATCGGAATTGCGGCTTTTCCATCATTGCTCAACTCTAACTCCTTTCGGTTGCATATTTCTTTGATGTCCATCCTTGATTTTAGATTATCCTTCTACTTACCTTTGACATTCATGATCGTGTTGATCACGTTATCAAAGAAATTCTTCTCAATATGCATAACATCCAGATTATGTCGAAGCTTGTGAGTCCTCCAATAAGGCAAATCCTAGAATATGCTTCTTTTGTACCAATTATGTGTTTCTCCGTATTCACATGGATTGCGATGACCATTTCCACCACAATCAATGGTTTTATCCAAACCATGAATGCTTTCAATCCGCTCCCACAATATCTCTTCACCCGTCAAAAGAAGAGGAGGTGGATCTGTCACAACCTTATTCTTCCTGAAATTTATTTTGTTCCGTCTCCATGGATGATCTAGCGATAGAAACCTGCGATGACAGTCAAACCAACATGATTTCCTTCTGTCTCAACTGAAATGATTGTATATCGTCCATGCAATATGGGCATGCAAATCTTCCATGAGTACTCCATCCCGATAACATTCCATAAGCCGGAAAATCGCTTATAGTCCACATCAAAACATCCTTCAACTTGAAATTCTCTTTCTGTGAGGCATCGTATGCATCAATTCCACAATGCCACAACTCAAGTAATTCTTCGATCAAAGGCTGAAGAAAAATGTCAAAACTTTTCTTCGAATGCTCTGGGCCCGGAATCAAAACCGTCAAGAACAAGAACTCTTTTTTCAGACACATATCTGGAGATAAGTTATAAGGAGACATAACAATAGGCCACAGCGAATATTGTTTGCCCGAGTGACCATACGGTGCAAACCCATCTGTGCATAAACATAGATAAACATTTCTATGTTCTGATGCAAAGTTCAGATATACCTCGTTAAAATTCTTCCATGCATCACCGTCAAACGGATGACTCATGTTCTCAAGATCTAATGTATGTTCAGCATGCCACCGCATATGTGAAGCTGTTTGATGAGATTCATACAATCTTCACAGGCGATCTTTAATCGGGAGATAAAACATCTTTTTGTAAGGAACACGGTTGCGTTGACCAGATTTTTTCGCCTTGTATCTTTCAACTCCACAAAATCGACAGTTGTCCAACTGGTTAGATTCTTTCCAAAATATCATACAATTGTTAGGACAAACATCGATTTTTATCGATTCCATTCCCAACGATCCCATCAGTTTAGACATATCGTAATACAAATCTGGAGCGTTATTACCTTGGGGAAGATAATCATTCAGCATCTGACAAACTTCATTCATGCAGTTCTGTGTAAGATTATAACTCGTCTTCATCCCCATCAATCTAGCAGAAGCCAATAGTTGAGAAAGCCCTTCTTTACAACCATCATAAATAGGTTGATTTGCAGCCTCCAATAGATCGAAATTTTTTTTTGATGCCTCATTCACCGGATCTTCTGTAACCTGATCATTATATTGAGATGGAAATGCATCTTGAACCATCTCAATATATGAATTTGGTTGATCATAGACATCAATATTTCTCACGGATATATTCTCATCAGAAATTTGAAACGTCTCACCATGATAAACCCAGACATAATAGTTAGAGACAAAACCTTTTTTCCATAGATGTCTCATCACAACTTCTGGAACTTCTTTTCTCTCGTTTTTACATCTTCGACACGAACAATATATCTTTCATCTCTGAAGAAAAATATGTTGATTTGTTGTAAACTCCAAAAAATTAGTCAACCCTTCTTCGTAATGCGTAGATACATTACCCGTAGAAGGATTTACTCTTTCGTACATCCATTTTCTTGAGTAATAAATATTGTTATTACTCGACGCCATTTTTTAAGTTTTTTCTTCGGGTGCAAGAGTGTATGAGGTCGCGGTGCGGTATAATGAAAATAGAGTGACCCAATTTCGTCACTAAAATAACAAATAGTGATGCAATTGCGTCACCAAAAAAGAAAATTGTGACGCAATTTCGTCACCAAAATAATAGTGACGAAATTGCGTCAGTAAATGTGAATGACGCAATTGCGTCACCAAATAGTGATGCAAGGATGACGAAAGGGTGACAAAATTTCCACGCGTCATTTGGCGACGCAGTTTTGCATCATACCTGCATCACCAAATGGTGACGCGGGGTTTTTCGTCACCAGATCGTCACTAAATAGCGACGATTTGGTGACGCTTATGTTACGTCACTATTTGCGTCACCAAATCGTCACTACTGCGTCACCCTTTTAGTGACGCAATTTTTGCGTCATTTTTTGCGTCACCCTTTTCGTGTTTTCTTGTAGTGACAACAACAGGAACATAGGGCTTTTCGTCAAGGAGTAACGGGAGTGTCACATATAGAAGCACTTAAGGCAGAGTTAAAGTTGGAAATAAAAGCGTCCG